GCTGGCCCAAGCCGGCCCAGGGCTGAGGAGCCTGGAGGCCTGGAGCTAGCGGGAGGCGGGACCACAGGGAGCCTGGGTTGACGGAAACGCTGGGCTGGGGCGGGGCCACGCAGGGTCATGTGAGGTGTCACGCGAGGAATCACGCAAAGGTCACGCAAGGTCACATGAGGGTCACGCGAGTGGCCACGTGAGGACCACACGGGGAGTCACGCGAGGGATCATGAGGGATCCCACGAGGGGCCGTGTGAGGGATCATGTGAGGGACACATGTGGCCCGGTCCAGGGCGCTCCAACCCTGCACACCAAGGAGGCCGATGCAGGAGGGTCACGGCTCTTCTGAGAAGAGCAGTGCGCTTCTTTGTGGAGTAACCGGTGACGGTTAAATACTTTAGGCTAAGGTGTTAGGTTACTGTCTAAAACTGAGGTTTCCGCACTGGAGATAACACCGGGTCCCTGATGTCATGGAGAGGACAGTGGTGGCCAGAAACCTGGGGTCCTCCGGGAGCCCTGAAACGCTTCCTTAGATTTGCTCTTCTCACATGAAATTTCAGAATGTTAATTGGATTAGTTTTCTTGTGTTTAAAGAAAGCCAGTTAGCAAGAGCCAAAAAGAATCCATGCAGTGGTACCATTTGTAAAGATGAAAACACTCAAAATAATGTTGTGTATTATATAATTCCATACCTGAACAATAAGAGAAACACAATAGACACAGCTGTAATACATTCTATTATTTAGGATTTTAAAAATTGAGAAGTGGAAAGTACTAGGATTTGACAACTGCTGAGTGGTATAATGTAGCGGTCGAGCCGTCACAACACGAACATGCCTGAGTTGGGGAGTGAGGATTGAGGATTGAGAAAAGAAAGAACACTCACACCTGAGCGGAGACAAAGAGAAGTCTGATTTATTTCACAGAAACAGCTCCTTTTATAGGCTTGCATCAACAGGAAGCTTTTAAGGGCACACAACAACAAAAAACACCAAGTAATTGTTTTTCAAAGACCAGATTTCCTGACTCTTACAGATAACATCAGATCTTCCGCTAACGAGCTTCCTGTTATGTCAGGGTCAAAGAGTCAAAACAAGCTTAACAAAAAGTTTCCTTGAAAAGTAGCAAATGTTGATGCCTTAATTATACAGGAAGAAGTTATTTTCCAAATGTCAAACTCCAGTGGGCCATGACTGGGCCCCCACAGTATAATAGTTTACTACTTTCCTAGTTGCTTAAATTATTTCAAGAGTTCTAAAGAGTAAAATTTTTCCACTCCTGTGATTCCACTTTGTATGCATTTTCTTTGTACTTTTTCTCCCCCTTTCCTTAAACATGGATGGTCCTACAATTTGCTCTTTGCTTTTGAAACTCAACCATACACTGTGAACATTCTGAATGTTACTCAGTTTACCTTCTTTTGAATGGTTCAGTAGTATGCTATTATGAGTTTAATTTCATTTATTGAATTATTGCTTTATGGACAAACTTTGAAGATCATTTCCAATACCTTTCTAATAGAAAAAAAAAGCTGTAATAGACCAAAAGTTCATGTGCTTCATTGTGGAGATCAGATTCTCCTGCATGAATATTTTCTTTTTTGCTAGCTTCTGCCATGATGTTCTTTACTAAAGGTTGTTGGATTGATCCTCATGAACATTGTACACAATTTTCCTATCTTCCTACATCCTTCCTAGCAGTGAATTTTAAGGATATTCAATATTTTCATCAATATGAGAAGTAAAAATAATTTTGAAGATCTGTAAGCAAAGCTCAGAGTTTCCTCGCCTTCTCCTAATCTCTTGGCAAAGAGCCCTTTGAGGGTCCCAGGTTCCTCCCAAAGGGTGCAGTTGTCTTGCCTGGCTTAGGTCCTGACTTCCTTTCCAGAGGCCCCCAGTAACAGATGTTTTGGCTGAGGACAGAGGGAAAAATTTTTCTGATACAAAAGGATTTCCTTAACTTATGGGGTAAAATGACCACGTCCTTGAGTGGCTTAGCAGGTGGGTGGCTGGGAGAGATGGGGGCCTGGGGCTGCATCCCGTGTCATGGGTGCAAGAGGATGGAAAGCACGTGCATTTTGTCTTGAGTGTAGATGCTGACCTTGGAAATTTAGAGGGAAGCAGGGCGTTGCTATGCTGTGTGTGCTCTGAAATGTTCTCGCCTTCTTCCCTTTCAGTTCTCAAATACAAGAAGAACGACGAGGATGAATCGCTCAAGGACAAATTATCTAAACTAAATATCCACTCGATAAGCAAGAAATCAAAAAGAGTGACAAATCATCTAAAGATTCTGACCCGAGGAGATTCACAGGTAAATCATCTTCCTGGCCACCTACTTTTCCCCAGGGATATGGGCGTTGATGTTTTGGGGGGGGTTGTTTTGTTGTTGCCAGGGCTGTACCTACAGCCTGAGAATCAGAGGCGCTGCCTGTGCCCCTCATCCTTCTCTCTCCTGGGCAGAAATGGGGCTGGATGGATCTGACACTGTCTTGGCTCTGATGCTTCCACTGGGGATGCCCACAAAGGAGAGAAAAGGACAATGGGACCTGGGATGTAAGGACCAAGAGTCCTGGCACCACCCCACTCCATAGCCCAACAACGTCCTCCATTTTATCTCTGTTTTATTTCTTCTTTTAAACATTTTACTTGCCTTGAAGGTTCCCTTGTGTCGCGAGCCGCGACGTCGGGGACTTGCCAGCAAGCCCCCAAACCTGAGAGCGTGCGGTCAGAAAACAGGCACACAATTTATGAGCAGAGGTGTGGGCAGCACCAAAGCCGAAGCTTTATTGAGAGAGCCTACTATATATTTCTTAGCAGAATAAACAACAGAAGTGAAGCAATTCTTTACCATATATGGACATACAGCAGAATATTAGCTCATGTGATTTACCAGAAACAGACTTCTGGAAGAGAAACGAAACTTCACAAGGTCAAAGCACAAACAACATCTTCACAAGGTCACATCACAGCAACATGGCTGCGCCTAGGCAATTAGCTGACTCATCATGGCTTCCCATATCTTGATGTTCATTTTACCTTTATTTCACCTGTACAAAACAAAACAAAAACTGAAGTATTTAAATGACTGACTTCTCTCAGTGTTTTCCCTTCTTTTCCCTGCTCCCCATATGTCCATTATGTTACTGAGTAGCTGTTTTTTGTCAGCCATTTAGACTGGCTTGAACCATTTTCATCTCAACCCCTAACACATAATAGATGGGTTGGTAAAGGCTAATAAACTTTAATGTGCTTAACAAGAACTACCTGAGCAGCTTGTTGAAAGGCAGATTTGTAGGGTTCTGTCTTATTCATAAGTGCAACCTAGAAGTCTTTTTTTTTTTTTTAAAGCATTCCAGGTATTTTTTGTGCTAATAATCTTGAAGCGAGGGATCAGTGGAACAGACCTTGCAAATCACGAGACAAAAAGTTCATGGACCTGACTTGGTAATACAGGGGGCTTCTCACTGAAATTAGAAGGGAGAGTTCTTAGCATACTATACTGTCCTTACTTTTCTCCCTCATTTCCTCAGTTTCATCACTTATTGTATTAACATCTCTAAGGTTTTTAGTTTGAGGGGCACTGATTTTAAATGTTTTTTTCTATTTGCCTCACTATTTAGCTATGAGGGATCTTTCTCCATTAGGCCTTTTCAGTTCTCTGACCATTTACATAGAGGTGTCCTCTCCCTCCTTTGAATGCTTAATAAACTTACTCTGTATTCCAATGTTGGCACTGTTGACATTTGAAAATACTAGCAGAAGGTGGATAAGAATAGCAAAGCCTTTGAAGTTATCTAAACCAGGGTTTGGACCCCACCTGTGCTATTTAATAAATCTCTGCCCTGGCCCACATGGCTTAAATTCAATGTAATCACCTGTAAATTGGGAATTAAACTAGAACCTCACACATGGGATAGCTGTGAGCATTAAATGAGATTATGTAATAGAATGCACCTGATACAATGTATAAACACTCAATAATATTATCATAATTATTTTATATCATTGCTTTGTATTATCACTTAACTTGAATATTTAGACATACTACTTCCCCTGAGGATGTAAACTCCCTCATGCATGGTGTCATCATGATTTTACTTTCTTTATTTTTATAATGTTTTGGCATGAAATTTCTCGCTGGTCAGGAGACATATCCCTTCCCAGGGCTAGCCAATTCTTAGAGACAAGCAAATGGCTCGGAATGCAACTTTAATAGGCAAGCCAGCCAATCCGAAATCTACAGCCCATTCACCCCCTTCTCTAACACTTGCACACTAATTTAACATTATCTCTGCCCTAAATCATTCTAGGGCCAGGTACCAAGCAACTAGAGACCAACCCTATGTCCTGGAGCCCATGTAATCATTCCAAGTAATCCTAAACTGCTTACTCTCAGCTACTTTGTCTTTCCCAAGGAAATCCTAATAAAGGCTCTGGCCTAGACTTTCTCCTCATTCCTGTCTTGAGCTACTTGATTAAAATCTAGGGCTTCCCCTGTGAGACAAGTGATGACCCCTCCCTGAGACTGGTGAGTATAGTAGATACTTCTTTCTGAGCCTTGACCTCATTTTCTTTTGTGGCTGCACTGACTTCACCTTGCATAGGTGACTTGTGCATTCTTAGAGTACATGGCTTGTATCATGAATGCATTTGTGTCTTTGTATCCTTCGGGGCTCACTAGGTCCATTTCATAAGAAGCTGCTCTTACTAAGGTGGAACTATGATGTCTAAAGTTTAGGACATTTATGAAATAAGATCACAGATGAGAGAAAGGACAATCAGAACATTTCAACTAAGAACACTAAAAATAAAAATCAAATTGGGAATTCATTTAAGAAGAGATAGTAGTCCCTATGGACGTGTGTACATGTCATGCAAGCAATTCTCCACTCTTTGGGATTTTGCCTCTGAAGGAAGGCAGTTCTATTAAAGAACAATAGGCAGTTTCTAATTTGGGGCAGGCTTTTGTGTAAGCTGTTATAGCCTTTAAAATATTTATCACCCACTTCTTATATTTTGAACTAAAAATGAATTGTAGTTAAAATAGCCGAAGGGATATTAATTAGATTTCCACCTTAATCTTTTAGAGAATGTCCTGCCAGCAATGAAGCATTTCACTGTTAATCAGAAAATCAGCTGCATAGGCTGGACTGGAGAAGAGATAAATTTCAAATCAATCAATTTTGCTCTTGTCAGCAGCTCTAGTGAAATATTGGTAGAGTTAGAGTATAAAGCTATTGCCCAAGAGGAAGACTATTCAATTCATCATGCATGTATTGAACTCTCACGTACTAGACAGTGTGAGAGATTGGGAATGCAAAGCTGAACAGGGGTAGGTTCCGAATTCAAGCTGCTTGGCTTTTTTGAAATTTTACCATTAATATGAGTAAGTTTTCTAACCCTCTTTATTTGGGTAAAGGTCATGTATCTGTCACAAAGAGCTTTTCAAAGCACAGTTGCTAAGGTCAGGTGGCCATTCATTTCTCTCCCTAATTATAGTCCTGGTTTGTGAGCAGATGAGCTCTGTTTCACATGAGCCTTTGTGAACTCAATTTGTTTAGTGCTTTCCCCAAACATATTGCCTTCCTCTGCTTGGTTGAAGCTGGCTCATTTCCATTTTTCCTTCAAGTGCCAAGGACAATATTATAAGGCCAACACTTAGGAATGGAACACAGTGCTTTGCTCACATCCTGGCTTCCCAAACCCAGTTATGTAGGCAGAGATAGCTGCAAGGGAGTCTAGGAAATGTAGTTTTCTAGCCATCCAGCCATGCATCTGACTTAAACTAGAAGTATGGGTTCTGTCAGCAAAAGGACGATGGAGCTATTGATCTCTGCAAACCTCATAAAGCTTCTGTTTCTTTATCTGTAAAGCAGTTACAATATCTACCATAGAGGGTTGTATAACAATGAGAAAATGGAAAGAAGGGCTGGGTGCAGTGTCTGGAACATAGTGTTTAATAAATGTCAGCCATTATTTTTAAGATGAAAATGTTTAATCTTAGAAATTTACTTGAAATTTACCAGTGGAGAGAATTTCTTAACTAATCAGTGTTACAAGAGCACATTAGGAAGAATAAATTGATTTTCTATGATTTGGAGAATAGCAGTGAAGGTAAGAATTGCAAATGGGGTGACATTTGAGTGAGTCTTTGAAAATGCTTATTTTTTAAATTTAGAATTGTTTAAAGCAGAAAAAGAGTAGCTACATGTTCCAGAAAAACAACGTGAGAAAGGGCTTGGGTAAGCACTAGATCCATTTGAGTTATGAAATTAATTTCATATATATTTTAGGTGAAAGATAATACCTTTAACAAAGAAGAAAAACTATTCAGATCGTTAGAAAAAACTGTGAGGCAGTGTGTGAAGAACATCTCATTCTGTCTTCAAGACATACAGGTGGGTGAGACATGGCCTTTCAGTGTTGCTACAAGAATGCATTGATTTCCATGGTTATTATGGGAGTAGCTGTGACTGTTCATTTATATTATGATGCTCACTGTAGCAAATTTGGAACTCTGCAAACAACTTGTGAAGGAAGCCAGTAGAAGGCTTGGGCTGTACTCTGTACCCACTACCTGCTCCACAACTTTCCCTAATCTAGGCTTTTGCTCCAATAATTGCCATATGGATCATTAGCCTGTGTTCTTTGTAACAGAGATGAGTTTGTTAATACTAAATTGTACATGAGGCAGAAATTGTTGTGTGTTTGATTTTACTAGCACATCACTTTCTAGTACCTAAAATCAGTATGACAGAAACTAAATGAAACTATGAAATAATATGAAATACAAAAAGCAGATACTCTCACATGATTACATTAGAAGACAGATACACTCCCCAAAATGTCTAGTCCCTGGGGCGATTGTTCTGAGCCCGTCAGAATCACTGATACCAGCACACCAGTTGGAGTACAGCACAGTTATTTCAAGACTAATCATCTCAGGAGTTGGCTTCTCATGGCTCTGACAAGGGGTAATGGTGTCCTTAACAACATCTTGACAATGGTTGTGACTGGGACGTAGAACATTAGTAGTGTTACATGGAAATCAGCTAATAAATGGCCCCCTTCCTCTTCTGGAAGTTTTTCTCTTGGATATTTGCTTTTGAAAGTTGATGTTTGATAGAATGGCACACCAGCAGAGGATTAAGGTGACAGGTGCACTGGTTTGGGGACCACGTTCCATGTCCTGTAAGGACAAGCACCGCTGTGTTCTTGTTCATTGTCTGATACAAAGTCTGTTTTACAACTGGGTTCGCTAATCTCTTCCTCAAGTGCTGCCTTCCATGAGAACAAAATCAAAGCATAGTTGTGGCAGCCCAAGGATGGTGGGAGCCCTGTTCCTTGTGTACCTTCAGGAAGAGAAGGCCTTTGGGAAGTATTTACCGGAGAATACTGTGTTTTCACCGATCAATTCAACAAAAATGTGAGCACAGTCTCTTAAAAAGAGGGCTAAACTAACTAGAAAAAAACTGACGAAGTGAAGACGACTGAAGTTGAAAATAAGTAATCTGTAGGAATTGAATACTAAAGAATGGCCAGCGAGGGAATCTAAGGTGGATTCCTCATAAGCAGGGGACCTCAGGCAGAACACAAGAAGGATGTGAGGAGGTGGGGAGTAGACCTTTAGGAATCACCAGGTTGCATGGAATATTCATGAAATGTGTGTAGATTCTTGTTTTTCACCCATCAGGGGAAATGGAGTATTGCAATGGACAGTTCACACTGGGGGGCTATAATTGCACCGACCCCAGAGCCTGCCCTTCTGTAACGTTTCTGCTGGATTGCAGGACGCCCTGCCCTTTGCTCTGCAGAGGGTGACAGAGCTCCAGGAGATGTCACAGCACCCAGACCAGGAAGAGCTGGGCTCTGAGGAGACCCCAAGGATTGCCCCAGACCTCTGCCATGACTTTGTGAGTTAATCGTACAGCTAAATGCAAATTTAATAACGGGATTAAAAGCAGCTTTTCATTTATTCTTCTGGAATCAGAAAGAAAATGAAAGCAAATACTCAAGTCGAAATTAGGAGATTTTGATAGGGGGTTTTAAAAAATTATTTAATATTTTTAGGTAGATTAGTGGGGGTTTTGCTATAATTGAAATGTAAGGCAACCCAAGACTGCTTCTGGGGTAGTCAGTACCTGTGCAGCTTTAGAATCAAGATTTAGTTTGAGTCTGCATGAGAGAGAGTAAGGATTTGAGCTGGAAAGTGGAGTCTGTCCTATAAGAGCACAGGTCCTCTCTGGAGGTAGGACTGCTGTCAGCGCAATGCACACTGGAATGAAAAGCCTGCTTACTGAGAAAGCACTTTTACTGAGAGTTGTGTCATTTCTTTCCCATGATAAAATACTTATTTTCTAAGAGTCATGTAAAATATAGCTTGGGAACCCAAAAAACATGCTTGAATCAATAATATTTGGTTGGTAAAGTCTTCTGGGTAACACATTTTAACTCAGCACCTTGTGTTTTATAGGCATAATTACTTCATAGTCATTAAGTTCACATAGAAGACATAGTAGACTCCATCGTCTTGAAAGTGGCAGCTTTTATGCTTCCATTATTGGCATTTTGGGGTCAGAAAAGTCTTCACTGAGAGGGCCTTGGGAGGACAGTTGTCTTCTTAGTCCGCCAGGCTCAGTTTAAGTCCTTGTGACAGCCAGTGAACAGCGGAGTCTTTAAAACCCAGGAAGGAACACAGCCCCAGCCCACTAGGAAATAATTGCTTTTCTGGCACTGGGAAATGGAAAGTCAGGACCACTTCTGAAGTAAGATGATAGATCCTCACTCATCAGTGGATGGATGGATGATAAAAAGTTTTTACAATATATGTTTAGTGGGGAAAGTTTCAGTTCATTATTTAATGTTACCTTCTGGGTTTAATTACAGAAAGTTCATGTTAGAAAAGCCCTTACAGGTCTGCTCTTTAGGTTAATTCAAATTCATTACATCAATAAATACCTATTGAATACATCTGAACACATACAGATTCAAATTTCCCCATAAGGTGTCGACGTTGAACTTTACCATTGAATTTGAATTGGTTCTTGTCCAGTTCTCTGTTTTGTGACCAAAATCATGGAAAGAATTAAGTTTGTGACCTGAGGTACACTGTAGTGTGACAATATCTCCCTCAGCAAATTTGTTCCATGATTTAGCAGGAAGATGAAGGGGCCCTGCCTAAAAAACACAAGATAATTTATGAGGCTGTGAAAATAATTACCAGAAACCTCAATATAAAAGTAACAATTTATCTATAACACATATAAGTGTCTATATAACTCTCTATATAATATATATGGCTCTTTTTAAAAAATGAAATGTTAAGACCAGGCATGGTGGCACATGCCTATAATCCTAGCACTTGGGAGGATGAGGCAGGAGGATTACTGCAAGATTGAGGCTAGCCTGGGCTCCATAGTGAGTTCAAGGCCAACCCAAACTGCATAGCAAGACCCTGTCTCAAAAACAACCACCACAACAACAAACTATATTAAGAACTCAACACTTGTCTAAAGGCAGAGTAATTGTTCTTATCTAACTATGAATATACTTACACTTTTGTGTGGGACAGAATATTAAAATAGAATCTGCTTATTTGTTCCTTCCTATGTACAGGTGAATCAGTTCATGTCTATGAGTCATTGGAGACAGATGGTAGGTAGGTAGATGGGTGGATGGATGGGTAGATAGGCTAGATAGAAATTATATTAGAGTATATTTCCTGTAGAATCCAGTCAAGTCACAAACATAAAAATAAATATCAGATAGAGTAAACAGATTCTTAGTCAGGAGACTCATTAAACAATGTGCAGGTCCATATTGATTATTTCATAAACTAGACATCAAATCTAATCTGGGTTGGCTGTTGCTGGCGCCAGTAAGAGCAAGTTTCCTGTCTTCTCCATTTCCCACGAGTGTAGACAGAGTTATCGGGGCCGTGGAAGTTAGTTGATAGAGGCTGCTGCTGAGGTGTGACTTCCTGGATCACCACAGAGGCCACAGAAAAGCCCCCTTCCACCTTACCATCACCTAGACACATGACACAAGCAGAGACGATGGGTGGTAGGCAGTCAGCAAGCACAAGGCACTAGTGCATCTCAGAATGAAGTGGGAGGAAGGAGAAAGAGAAGAAATTAAATCTAGGGTGCTTGATGCTGATGTGGGGTGGATATTCATGTAAAATTTATTTCAGTGAGTCGATTTAAGATCTAGGTCCAGCCTCCCAATAACCCTTCAGTGTATTAAAGAGGAAGTTATAACCCTGGTTGTATCTGTCACAGGAGTAAAATAGCTACATTGAAAGCTCACTGTGTGTATAGGGGATGCAATTCCATTACCAGAGATAAGCCCTCCCAGCAGGCAGGGACTTGGGGTTGGTGTGGGAGGAATGGGGTGTGTCACCCTTGCATCACTTTAGATATAAGCAGATCAAGGAGTGACATGGTGAAGCATTTACAGTCTCTGAAGTCAAGGGGTGAAGCTAGTCCTCTACCTTGTGGGGCTTAGTTTGGCTCTGGATTAGAAAGCAGGGAAAGGGAAGTACTGATCCAGCCATCAGCACTGCAAAGAAAGGCAGAGTTAGGTTTTGAGAGAGAGGCTTTCACTTGTATTTTCCTCTTCTGGTCGCTCTTCCTGTTCAGTAGGAGCCTCTGGTCCCTGCACAGGCTTAGCTGACACAGAAGCAATTAGATGTGTCTTTGTTTCCTTTGCTCCCCTGGAGAGGGGCAGGTGACTGCTGGCAGCATGGATGAGCTCCCAGCTGTCCCTCTCTGTAATGGGCCTGTGTCTTCTCTCAGCAGGCTGTTCAGCTCCAGAGACACGTCCTGAACCCGCTATCTGCTCTACTGTCCTTGTTCCCAGGACCGCAGAAACTCATCCAGAAGCGTTATGACAAACTGCTGGATTACAACAGCTACCTGCAGCAGTCTGAGAGAGCAGAGTCGGACCTGGCCAAAAAGGAATACGAGGCTCTCAATGCCCAGCTTGTTGAGGAGCTGCAGGCCTTCAACCAGGCGGCTCAGACCATTCTGATGAACTGTCTGTGCAGCTTCGTCAGCCTCCTCAGGGACTTGATGCTCGAGGCCCAGCAGGGCTACGCCACCATCCTGCCAGTGAGCACATGTGGGGCCCCGGCCACCTGACCAGGTGTCCTGTGGGGCACAGGGTGCATGGTGCAGCCTGTATGTGTGTGTGTCATTTCAGTAGAGCAGACACCTGGTGCTCTGCTCTGGGACCCCATTTTGAGTTGTAGAACTCTTAAAGGTGCCTTTAGTTGCATTTGAAATTAGCTAGAAATCTCTCACATTGCAGTCTATAGAACAAGAGCAAAGAAATTCTTTGTTTTTGAGAAATCGCTAATGTGCTGTAGTGAAAAGCACTCTGGAGAAGTGTAGCCCCATTAAGATGACTTCATCCTATATATGTGCTATATATAATAAGCTTTTTGTTTTGAAATACTGTAGCTTTGCATTCACATGCAGTTGTAAGAAGTAACATAGAACTCCTGGATGCCTTTTTAGTTTTCCCCCATGGTGACATGTTTCAGAAAGAAAAAACAAAAAAACGAGAAAAAAAGAAAAAATTTCTTTTCAAGGAGCAAAGACAAACTGGATTGTATAAGTGAAACAAATTAGCATGTACCTTAAAATATTTTTGAAGCAGTATACTTCAGATCTGGGACTGTGATGCCTCCTGGTTTGCTTTTGTTACCCAGGATTGCTTTTGTTATTCAAGGTCTCTGGATCCACATGAATTGTGAGATTCTTTTCTCTAGATCTGTGAGAAATTCTGCATTTTGACAAGGATTGCATTAAATCTTTACATCAGTTCTCCAAGTATAGCCATTTTGATCATATTGGATCTTCTTATCTTTCCACTTTTTCTTGTGGTCTTTGGTTTCCTTTTTCAGAGTGATGTGACTATCACTATAGAGATCCTTTGCTCCCTTGGATACCTTGATTCCTAAATATTTAATATTTTTTGATGCTATTGTAAATAGCACCATTTTCCTAATTTCTTTCTCATTGAGTTCATTAGTAGTGTATAGGAACGCTATTGGTTTTTGTGTGTTGATCTTGTATCCTGATACACTGCTAAATTTATTCTAGGAGTATTTTGGTTATTCTAGGAGTATTTTCATATAAATTTTAGAGACTTGTAAGTCAAGGATCATATCTTCTACAAATAATGGTACTTTGACTTCCTCCTTTCTAAACATAACACTTTTATTTCTTTTTCTAGCTTGATTTCTCCATATAATATTTCAAGTACTATGTTGAACAGAAATGGTGATAGTGGACATCTTTGTCTTGTTACTGATTTTAGAGGGAAATATTTCAGTTTTTCCCTAATTAAAATGATATTGGCAGTGGTTTGGTAATGAATGGCTTTTATCAGATTGAGATAAGGTCCTTCTGTACCTTTTTTCTTCAGGGTATTTATCATGAACAGACACTGATTTTTGTCAGAGTTTTTCTCTGTATCTATTGATGTTTGTTCCTGTATCTTTTTGTGTGATAGCTTACATATATTCATGTGCATATGTTGAACCATCCTTTCATTCCTGGGATGAAGCCTACTTGGTGTTGTGTGACCTTTATGGTGTTTTACTGCATTCTGTTTGCCTTTATCTTGTGATGATTTTTTGCATCTGTATTCATCATGGAGATTGACTTGTAGTTTATTTGGCTGGATTCTTGTCTGGTTTGGGGATCATTGTAATGCTAGCTTCAAGTATGATTTTGAGACTACTACTTCACTCTTGATTTTCTTCAAGAGTTTAAGAAGTATTGGTATTAGATCTTCCCTGAAGCTCTTGTAGAATTTGGCAGTGAAGCAATCCATAAGGTCTTGGGCTTTTCTTAGTTCTACTAAGAAAGGTTTTTTATTGCTGCTGCAATTTCATTACCGATAATTAGATTAAGATATTTAAATATTCTTATTTATTTTTGGTAGTTCATACATGTCTAGGAATCCCTTCCTTTCTTCTAGTTTGTTTGTTTTTGCAAACATATCTTCAGAATCCTGCTTTCATTTATTTGGACATGTACCCAATAGTGGGATTGCTGGATTATGTGGTAGATTTTTTCTAATTTTCCATAGAACCCAAAGGTCTGTATTTAATTTTCATTTTTATAACAGTTATGCACATAGTTGACTTAAAGATTTAGGTTGGTTATTTACATTTATTAGATTGGATCAAGAAGTTGTCCTTTAATCTCTTTACTCAATTTCCTCCTCAGGGACAACTTCTTTTAAGTTCTTGTAGGTGATTCTTCATATTTTAAAATTAGACACTTATGTTGCCATGTTACTAATTTTCAGTTATAGAATGATACATTCTATTTTGAAAAATTAGGGTTTAGTTTTCTTTTCTGTACCCCCATAACATATATATATGTACACATACATATATGTTCACATTTTATTTATATATACTGTGGCGGCCCAGCCGTCACATCACAAACATGCCTGAGTTGGGGAGCCAGGACTGAGAAAGGAAAGAACACTCAAGCCTGAGTGGAGACCAAGAGAAGTCTGATTTATTTCACCAGAACAGCTCCTTTTAAAGGCTCACATCAGCAAGAAGCTTTTAAGGGCACACAACAACAGGAAACACCAAGCAATTTTTTTTATCTTTATGTAAAGACTGGATTTCCTGACTCTTACAGATAACATCAGATCTTTGGCTAACGAGTTCCTGTTATCCCAGGGTCAAAGAACAAAGCAAGTTTAACAAACAAGTGTCCTTGAAAAGTAACAAATGTTGCATAGATTGTGTCAATGCCTTAATTGTACAGGAAGAAGCTATTTTCCAAATGTCAAACTCCAGTGGGCCATGACTGGGCCCCCCACAATATATATATAGGCATATGTTTTTATCCCCTTTCAATTACAGTGATATCATAAATTAGGTTGTGTTCATACTCAGTGTTTAAAATTGCTGTGTTTCAGTCATGATAACAGCAGGAAATATACAACACCCTTAAAATGGGCATTTAGAGAAAAACTGCTTATAAAAATGGGAGTGGAAGGGTGCTTATGGAGATGCACAGACAGGTATGGAGGCAGAGACCACAGAGAAGCTGGATGGCTGTGCTGTTCAGTCCGTATGACAGAAAGAGACTCAGGAAATAAATATCCTCATCTCATTTTCCTCCCTCATTCTGATTTCCCGTGGGTTCTCCTCATTGACTGAACCCATCTGGAGGCCAGAGAGCAGAGAGGCTGTTGCCACATTTCATTCTGTCAGACTCCTGGAGCACTGATCAGGGTGGGGAAGGAAGGAGCGTAAATGTGAAGAAACAGACCGAGGTCAGCGCGCAAAGGGAGTGCCGGCTGGACTTCAGCTGCACAGAGCACTTCACTACAGCTGCCTTTTCTTCCGTTGGCAGCTTTTGTTTTCTCTGAAATCAGTAACATGTTTTTCTTTCAGCAGTTACTCATTTTCTCTTTGCCTCACTCTGTCCATGGGTTGACTAAATCATTTCTTAAGACTCCCAGATGCATGAGGTATTCTCTCAGTTGTGGCATCTGACAGAGATCTCTCCTGGAGCTGTCTGACCTGCTCCAGTCCAAAGCAGTTACCCTTTCATCTGCTCACCAGGGGCCATCCAGGACCACACCTCATCCTCATCCTGGAAATCCCTTTACCTCTCTTCTGTGTGGGATCTTTTTTTTTTTTTAACTTCTTTATAGCTTTATGCCTTTTTGTGGGGAGGAGCATATTTTTGAGTTGTTCCCTGAGAAAGAATGATTGGGGATAAATATTTTTGACAATTTAAGTATCAGAGAAGGTCTTTCTCCTGTCATCACAATCTATAGTTTGGCTGGGTGTAAAGGTTGTTCTATCTGAATTTGAAAGTATTCCATTGTTCTGTTGTATTCTAGATTCCAAAGTTGGTGTTGAGAACTCTAAAATCCATTCTGATTTTTTATTTGTTGTATGTACTTCTCATCAAACATTCCTGGAAACTCAGGATTTGTCTTTGTTTCCATTGGTGTGAAATTTGAGGTGTACTGGTATGTTGAACACTTGGTGGGGTTCTTTTGATCGAAAATTTATATCTTTCACTTCTAAAAATGTGCTTACATATTTAATTGATGATTTTTCTCCTCCTTTGTTCTCTTTTTGAACCTGCTGGGTTGTTCCTAAATTTTATTATCTTTGCCCACTTATTTTCTCTCTTTATCACTTTGCTACACTTCCTATCAAATTTTTCTACTTTACTTTTTATAACTCATCTGTTGTTTCTTTTTATTTCTGCTCATAACATCTTAATATTCAAAGTTTCTTTTTGTTTTCTTAAAATTAAGACAAACTTCTTTTGCTTTTATCAGGGTCCCTCATGTTAGAGGCAAACCTAAGTTGTGTAATGTTCTTGTTCAGCTTGAATATGTAGGACATGGTAAGAGATGGAAACCCTAAGTTTTGCTACTGTATAGAGTGATCTGGCTGCCATTCCATCTGGGAACCACAATCATAGCATCTCTAGGTCTCAGGCTGGTGAGAATATCCAGAGATGACCGTGAGGTTGGTGTTAGGATGAAAATGGAACAGGGGGCTCTAAAGATGCCCCCCATTATTCCGGGTCTTTTTATATAGTGTTTGCACTGCAGCTAGACTACTACTTGGTCTTTTTTAGGACTAATGTTGAAAGTCAAATGGTATCATTTCCATCTGTCCTGTCCAACATTATATTAATTGCAGCTATCAAAAAGGTCTGTCCAGGGGGTATGGGGTGTGGCTTAGTTGGTGGGCTCTCATTCTTTCCCAAGCATTGCAAACAAAACACATCACAAAACAACCACCACCTAGTTTTGAGAATTAAGCACATAGGCTTCACCTCTTGTGAGAAGCACATCAAAGAAAACTGCTAATTTAACACTAATGCAGATTCTTCATTGGTGCTTCTTACTTTGGGTTTTTTCCCTTCCTATCACATTACCCTACCATGTGAGAAGTCCCTACTGCTATTAATACCTGAGCCTTTTTTCCAATACTTTATAATTAATTTGTCTCTTTTGTTCTTTTTTTAAGCTTGAAACTTTAAAAAATTCCTATCATTCCAGAAAGACCATCTTTATGGAAAGTTTTAGAGTTGCCCTAGTTTTTCAGTTAGAACTAACTTATAGGTTCTCACATGTTCATGCAGCTCTAGAACATTTAATGCCTAACATGGTTGCCTGTTTGTCTAAAAACTGTTATCTATCATAGGTGCCACGGTTGGTTTCAAGCCTGTGTGAGATTCAGAATCAAATACTAGTAAAAGTTCAAAATCTGAATTTTGTAAAGGAGAACAGTGCCACCTTTATTGAGAGGAAACTTAGTTTTGAAAAGAAGAAGTCTGTACAGACTCAGGTGAGTTTAGCAGCATGCATGAAAGGGTAAGACCTTTTCATTGTCTTGATCATAATATCAAAATATAGTATTTTTTCTATCATTTAATTCTAACATCTTATAATTTATTTATGCTTAAAATGTCTGCTCTGTTTCTTCCCTCTCTACTGTGAATGCCATGAAATTGCTGGTTTGTGATTCTGTTTTATGCATGATTTGTCCCTAAATTGTCTCAAATGCTGCTTGATTCAAGGTAGACCCTTTGCAAATATTTGTTGACTGGGACTTTATAGGGATAAATCACATGTCCAAGCCTTTTATTTTAAAGATAACACATGTCAGGAGATAAAGTGGTTCTCCCAGTCACTCAGCACCTCTTGACTCCTGCCGAATTTCCTGATATTGCCCATGAAAAGATGTGCTACTTACCAAATCAAATATTATTTATAAAGTGTTAAATTTTGAAGGAATTATCCACAAAACACCAAAGAGTTAAAATGATGTTCACCATCAGGAAGGATTAGAACCTCTGCCTTTTACTCACAGTTGAGTTTTCTCTTTTTTGCAACATTGCCCTCGTGTGCTTACTAGAGAATTTTGCACTGAATAACTCCATAATTTTCCAGTAATAGCCTGATTTAAGCCTCCATGCTGAAATAAATCTAAATGAATGTATAGCTTCTACATTACAAAAAAAGCTCAGGGGAGAAATATTTACCAACTTAATGAAGATTTTATTATTACATCCCTGCAAACCAAAGCTTCTTCCTTTTCCCAGCCAGAAGTGCCTCGACAGACCGACACTCACCGCTCCCAACTCCTGTCCACATACAGTGCGGAGGGGCTCTACCAAGCTAAGCGCAAGTGCAATGCTACCCAGGAGTATGACATCAATCTTCTAGAGGGGGAGTTAGTGGCTGTGGTGGAGCAGAAGGATCCCCTAGGGAGTACAAGCAGGTGGCTTGTTGATACCGGAAGTAAGTTTTCCCCCAGACTACCACTCCCCTTCAGGCGGAGATTTTCCTAGAGGCCTCTGGGTGCTTGTCTGAGTATCCAGTTTGTGAAAAGGATACACATGACCCTGCTGCTGCTTTTTCTTTTTTAATTTCCTCCCCAGTTGTTAAAGGATATGTATATTCCTCCTTCCTGAGACCCTACAATCCAGCAAAAGCACAGAAGGCAGAAACGGAGAATAGGCTCTGTGATGAAGATTTTGACAACATCAGCTTCTTTGTGTGTTCGAGGCCAGGGAGTGACAGTGTCACGGGCACCCCAGAAGGCAGCATCAGTGACAGCAGCTCGTCGCTGAGTGGCACTTGTGGGAAGTTTGAAACAAAGGGCTCCGATATTGACAGTTTCCAAGAGGTAGATGAACAGGTAAGAATTGAACCTTGATGTAAAAATACTTGGCTGTTTAAATCAGGGAAGAATCTCTAACTGTACTGCTCTGTTTAACCTTAAGACTTAATGGAAAACTGCCAATTTTCTGTGTAGTCATTTAGATGCTTTTCCCCTAAGTCAGAACATCAGGTTCAGCCTGCAGTGGCTTAACTGGATGACACTGGGGCTACCATCTTTCCTCATCTCACTCTCCTGTGTGAAGGCTTCTTTTGCTTTCCTCCAGGATTGCAAAAGCAGGTGGCTAAAGGTCATTTTTGACTGTAACCTAATCTTAGAGATGGTTCTAGGGGACTCTGACAAGGACTAGTAGATGAGAAGTCCCATTTCTAGCTGGTCAAATGAATATGACTTCCTATCTAATCATTTTTTTTGTCCATCAAATATAATGGTACAGTCTATGTTGCATAACATATTATGAATTACATAACAAATTAGTACAAATTTAGTAGGTCAAAATGGTATAAACTTGGTATTCATGGTCGAGGCCAAGCTTGGCTTAGCTGGACTCCCTGCTCAGGGTCTCCAGCTATGATCTCACTGTTGGCTGAGTTATGTTTCTTTCTGAAACCTGGGTTCTCCTCCAAGTTCATGGGTGTTGACAGAATTCAGTTTCCTCTTCTTGAAGCGCCAAGGTCTAGTTTTCTTGCTGGCGATCATCTGGAGCAGCAACCGAGGGCCATTCTCAGACCTCTGCGTGTGACTGTCTATGCTTTATACAGCAAGGTGTTTGTTTCTTCAGGGTCAGTGGCGAGCACCTCTTCAGCTTCAGATCTCTTCCTTCCAGTAAGATCTGAACACACCTGCCTTTAAAGGTGATTTCTGATCGCACAGTTTCTGGTGCAGGATGACTTCCCCTTTAATATCACAAAGTGAGTTTCTTAATACAGCATGTTATATTTTTTAAAGTAGATGCTGTGCAGAACTGTGTTGAATTCATGGAACATTGTATATAAAGTGAGCCAGAACTTTACTGAGTGCAAAGAAGCTACCAATAAGTATAGTAAATTTAGTAAATTCCCCCCAAAAGGAAAGAGTATTAGAAGACTATGGTTCATTTATTAACATTTTAATTAATGCATCTAGACTAACACATGCACACTTTGAATATTAAAAATATAGCCTAAGAATATTAAAATATTGAAAACAGTGAGAAACATTTCAGATCCTAAATCCATGATTTACTTCCAATTTGAGTGCATAACGTATGCCTCCATCTAACATAAGTTATATAAAAACAAACATTCTCATTCTAAATAAATTTTGGGCCATGATCACCTAAAGTATTAAAAGTGTGTGTTATAATTTCGTATTTTAAATTTATGATTTCTTATGTGATACAAGACAACCTCCTGCACATTATCTAAGCCTGAAAGTCTAATGCTCAAAACGTAAACTATAATTTCATACCAAATAGAAATACAGAAGGAAGATTTTATATTTCCTTTGAGTGAATTTGTGCCAAAGTGAAAGACTGACACAAACACTTAAAAGGTGGTATATTAGAAGCTAATCCACCTTGCTGAGAAATTTATTGCTTCATTGGCAAAGCATATATATTATTTATAAGAATTACAAAAGATAGTGACTGCTAATACAGATTCTTACATCTTATTTCAAGAGCTGGTACAGAATGTCACAATTTTAGATGCTTCTGTAAGCCTCATTCTCCACTCAGCTCTTGCAAATCTAACCTATTTTTACTTTCCAAACAATAAAACAAAAAGAGCAACTTTATAGTAGAAACTCTCATCCCTTTTCAAAAGCAAACACTCTGCATATCCTTGAACAAGAATTTGGTTCCTGTAGCATTATGAGAACTGTACCAAGCACAGGATCTGGAGCTAGAAGATATGAGTCCTAGCAGCATTAATTAGCTGTTTGATTAAGGGTGTGTATATTTCTCCTCAAAGTTTCCACTCACAGGGCCGTTGAGGGGAAAGCACATGTGATAGGTAAGCTCTCTTGAGCTCTGTGAACACATGTTATTATTGCTGCCGTTCCACCACTTGTCACTGAAGAACTTAGAGCATACTCCTTTTGGTTCTCTTCTTGACTTTTATCACAAAATAACCCATGTCTATAATCGCCCTTACACATGTCTTATGTGATACAAGACAACCGCCTGCATATTATCTGAGCCTGAACGTCTAATTCAAGTCAAATCAACAAATATTTGAATCCCCACTGTGCAGCATGAGGTGAAGAAGAGTTTACAAGTGTGCCTCTGCTGATTCCGGCTGCTGCTGTAACAACATACCATACACAGGGTGGCTGATATCAAGAGGAATTTCTTCCAGATGTGGAGGCTGCAGGTCCCTGGCAGTGTGGGCATCTGGAGGGGGTCCCTTTTCTGGTTCATCTGGCACCTTCTTTCCAGGGCCTCACCTGGTAGAAAGGATAAGTATTCTCTCGTGGCCCCCTTTTATGCAGGAGCTATCCCATCTGTTAAGGCTCTGCCCTCGAGACCTCATTACCTCCCCAAGGCCCTACCCTCAATACTGCCACCTTGGGGATTAGAGTTCCCACCCATAAGTTCTGGAGAGGAATCATTCAGGCCATAGCACTACAGTTCCTCATCTGGAGGAGCAGCTCCTGCTAATTGCTAAGACTATACCAGTCAGTGGAATAGGTATTTATCAAAAGTTAAATAACAGTTCCAGATTTAAATAACAACGTAAACTATCACATAGTCCCCTCACAGTACCCAGGCTCTTTTCCTGTCTGGTATAGTCATTGTATTTACCATAGTTCCCTTTGACTTTCGGCCCTCAATTTTGAAAGCTAATCTGCTTGCCTTTTCCTGATACTGTTGGTGATCGAACTCAGGACCTTGCACTCGCGAGGGAGGCGTGTTGCCACTGAGCTAAATCCCCGGCTCCTGTATACTGTTTTCATCTCTGTCCTTTTGAATGTGACGTATCCACCTCCTTGTTAATTTTATCATTTATGAAGGTTCCTTTCAGAATCCAGCTCATACCTAGCAGTGAGTCATCCACATGTAGAAAGTTTTGTTACTGGTAGTGGCAGAGTTTTGGTATGGTGTGTTATTTTGTTGACAGTTATTATTTGCCTGAGGTGAAAGCTGCCTGGTGAAGTAATATCTGGCTCTATAGTATCTTTTACTTCATAAAGTTTGATGAAATAAATGTATAAATGTTGATAGCCAATTGCTCACTTTGATACTATAACTAAACATTTTTATCATCAGTCTTGCGATCTTACTGACAGATGTGCTGAGACTTATTTTAGAGCTTCTATCCACCTAAAAATTACAAAGTAGTCTGTTGAGGTTACAAAAAAATTATTTTAATTGAACTGTGTTTTATTATTTTGTTCTGGGTCACTACAAATCATTTAACAATTATACATTTAATACAATGTTGTTATAAAGCTGGAAAGTGACAAAACGAAGAAGCAACAATGAAAATCGTCTCTCATCCCACCATTCAAAGACATTAGATAGCATTTTAGGCATACATTGTTCATCTAATTTTACATTTTTTTGCTTAGTATTTCATCATAAGTACTTTCCAAGTTACTAATATCAGGAAAACGATTTTAATGGCTACACATTTCCTTAATGTGAGGGTCCAGAATTTATTCCCCACTTTTGCTAAAACTGTAGTGTATCCCCGCACCCCTCCCAGTTTTTACCTTACATGAAGAGAATTGTCACAAACTATTATGCAAAATATCTGCCAATTTCTTCTATTTCAACAGAAGAGATTCTTAGAGATACTGATTCAAAAGGAATTAACATCAAAATATCTTAATAGAAACTGCCAAGTTGCCTTTAAGCATGGACAATTTCAACTCCCAACAGAGTAAGAATGCGTTGTTCCTCCGTAATCATCTGGGTCATGTTCTCACAAATAAATCCAACAGAAATAGCTTGGTAGGATGAATTAGATAAAATATGAAAACTTTGGCACTGCATGTGAATGCTTGGAAACCTTTACTATGCTCCTCTGAGTTTTGGGTTCTGGATCCAAATAATGTCATTTGCTTCCTTGTCTAGATTTTCTATGCAGTTCACGCTTTCCAAGCACGAAGTAACTATGAACTGAGCCTTCAGGAATACCAGAGAGTCCATATCCTTAGATTCTGCGATCTGAGTGGCAATAAAGAGTGGTGGCTAGCCGAAGCTCATGGGCAACAGGGGTACGTGCCAGCTAACTACCTTGGGAAGATGACTTATGCGTAAGAGAAGCCTGAGGCCTTTATTTCCTGGCAAGTTGCTGACGACCTCACAGGCCTGACATTCTGAAACTCCCGACCAGAAAGCAAGAAACTTCCAAACTACATGAGGTGATACTGTATCAGGTTTTTTGTTTTTCGTTTTTTGGTACCAGGGATAGAACTCAGGACCTTGCACTTGTGAGGCAGGCAGCAGAACCACTGAGCTAAATCCCCAGTCCTGTTTTAGGCTTGAAGGAACACCATTCTGCGTAATAGGGTTATTTCCCAAATGTATTATAAATACTAAACTAACACACAGAGCAAAGCCAACACTGCAGGCTCCAACAGGAAACTACTTAAAAGTGTAGAGATCTTTTGAAAGAGTGAATGTTCTTTTATTGTCATGAAAGACTGGGTGTCAGAATAAGGTTTTTCAGTTTACTATAAAAAAATTTCTTACTATATTGTCTTTGATTTTCACTTGCACGTAAATGTAGGGTTATATTCATACATCACGCAGTGTGTACTTGTGTGTCGTATAGATCATACACATATATCTGTGTACCAGAGCATCTACTAAATACACATAAGAGTAGGCATTGACAGTCAGCTAGAAGTCTTTGATGTGGAGCTTCTTTAAAATAAGCTGTGAAGCAAAGAAAAAAAGTGACATGATGCTATCTAACACTGACAGAGGGCACGACATGACAGACCCCACTTTGAGCACTTTATATGTATTGTAGTCATATTTAATGCAACCCACAGCCCAGAAAGATGGAGCAACTCTGCCTGACTCACACTGCTAATAAGTGGTAGGGCTGGGACGCAAGTCCAGGTGTTCCCTGGGTCCACGCTCCTGGCCGGGCCCTTTGCTTGTCCAGGCCTGCACACATGTGTCACCTGCAAAGCACTTACGTGCAGATCATGGGCTGAAGTGGACCATTTATTTTACTCATGCCCATCTTAACTCAGTATTTTTCAAAATTAAAGGCTTTCAGGACTTCCATTTTAGCCTAGAAAGAAACAAATATTTAAGTTTCAACCATTTGGAAAATATAATTATTTAAAAACTATGATACATGGTTGCTAGTGACACGTAAACGAGGATCTGTCTTTGGCTCCCCCATCACTGGGATGATGAATGGGGAGTGTGTGTTCTGTGTTCTGAGCCAGTTGCTCACTTGGACCAAGGCGAGGCCTTTGGGACAACGTCTGCTGTCACATGATGTCCCAGGACACTGACCTCTGATTTCAGGCATATTTTCTCAGGACACTTTATTGAACTCAAAATGGTTTTCTGCCACAGAAAAGATTAAATTAAAATTGACTCTAGTGGTTTCTTTTCAAATTAATGTGGACTTTCATTGTCCACATAATGGCTAATACGGCATTAAATTTTAAATGTCATTCTATTTGATCCTATTATGAATGATGCTATATATATTATTTTATATTGTATACGTAAACTGTACCAATAAAACTAATTTTAAAAAACTGCTGCTTTTCAAAGGGTAGCTCACACACACACACACACACACACACAAATGACGAGTACAACCACAGAAATTCAGAAAAATCTGATACCTTATGAGATTGTTCCTAAGATCATTAATCCAAAAATAACTTTATAAAATTTTACTGTTGTATAAAAAAGAATTGAGATGTGTTACACACATGTACCAGGTCCCCGTCAGGAATGCAGCCATTGGCAGTGCAAACATGGACTGATAAAAGGCAAAACCTGGAAAACACTTTTTTAAAATCTAAGATATTTTTGCATGAAGCATATTTCTGCTTTATATTGGGCACTAAAAGAGGATTCTTTCTTATTTTTAGATGTACATAGACTTTTATGTCTTTTAACTATCCTTTGTACTCAGTTTGAAAATTTAGCCTCCAGTTTGCCCAGGGTAAAGGAAAAAGAATTCTGAACTTGCTACTGTGGAAAATATGAACATGTTGAAAGATCGAAATAAGAGTGTATATATATGTGTGTGTGTGTGTGTGTGTGTGTGTGTGTGTCCATTTCTGTTTTATGAAGAAATGCACACAATATACTTTTATGTGTGTGTGTGTGTATATATGTATATATGCATGCGCCAATAGTATTCACCACAAAAGTGAAGAACTATACAACTAGCAGGGCCCTTCTTAGGCTGATGTCTCAATGCCTGTAGGCTTTGCTGCTGAGATGGCCCTAGGACTGACACCTCTTGTCTGGCCTATGAAGGGTCCACTCCACTAGCGTCACAACGGCAGTCGCTGCTGAGCAGGAGTGTGATGAAGCCACCGACTGCCCTTCTTACACTGCGGCGAACACCTCTGCCTGCAGAGGCTTTGCACAATGACATGAGAGCCTTGCTTTCTAAATATTCTGCTTACAAGTCAAGGAAATTAGAATTCTGAGGATCAATATTTTATTGGGCCCAAGGGAAATAAACTTCCCAGACAGTTGTGATGTATGAACCTTTAAGAAGTTTAATAGATAAATCTGTTGGTGGCATCAGTATAATTATAGGAAGGGATACTATTTTTTTATGTTTGTTTAAAAATATTTCAAATAGGATCGTGTGAAGTACTTTATTTTTTTATTGTCTAAAAGTTGTTAGTGGTGTTAACTACCACAACGCCTAATGTAATTATTAAAATTAATCCATGTAGCCAAAATACTTAGCATTTAAAATGTCTAGCAAAAGTTTAGTAAATTAAAAATTTTTTGTCTAATAAAAGATATGTTCTACTTTTTTATTGAGTTTATTGGTACATTTTAGGTATATAGTACAGTTACATTCATTATTGAGATCTTGTACCTCTACATGACAGGTCTTGGTTCTCATTTCTTCCCCTTGTCCCTGCCCTCCCTTCACCCCCTCCTCCTCTCCCCATTTTCAAACACTTTATTTCCATCTTTTCATTTTCTTACATTTTTTTCTTTTCCCTTATTACCGTTCCCCTACCCCTACTACTTTCCGTACAACTTTAGCCCTTTTCTTCCCATTTCACAGTGGAATATTACTCAGCCATAAAGAATGAGAAATTAGATTCATTCATAGGAAAATGGATACATATTGAGGATATACTCCTAAGTGAAATTAATAAGTCACACGTGACTTAGTTTCTCTGGTGTGAATAAACTGTAATAGTTTCTCTGGTGTGAATAAACTGTAATAGTACATAAGATCTTAATGGTATGTTCTACTTTTACTTATATTTTAGGTAGATGGATACAATTTCAGAATAGCAAGGTACAGCTCCTGTAAAGATTTGACTTAATGTAACATGGCAGTTTATAGTGGCATTTCCATTTTGTTTCTGTTTTATGAAGAAATGTACACAACCTACTTTTATAAAATGAATTTGGATCCTGAATTAACTGTCATGCAGCCAACAGAAGATAGGGATTGCAGACTAAGGAAATAACAAGCCTTTGTTTTAAACTTTGCTATTTTAAATATACTATTAGTGAGCATCTATACCTTCAGTGAAAGGTACTGTGAATGAAAGTAAAAATGAAGTTTCAAGCATGAACAACTATTGAAACTAATATGGAAATTCACTAATATAGCTTTATATCATATCATTTAGATGCTGGGTTTAAAAATCTGTGTTCAGAATTACAGAAATGTCCAAGGAGTCAAAAATGTTTATTTCAACATTTATTTTTGTAAAGGAATGAATTCCCAAATAGTTTCATAATATGTCTTCCTTTCTAAAAAAGCCACTTTGCTTGCAAAAGAGCATGAACAAGATAAAATCATTTTCTTTCCTACACCCTCACCCTCTAGACAGCCAACACATATGTGACTATGATGTCGATAAATTTAATGATCAGTTATCAATATTAGCTGCTTTTAAAATAAATACCTATATTTTACATTACTTTGTCAAAAATAAATGTATCTTGTAAGCCAACCAACCTCATTTCATCATTTAGTTATTGACTGAATTTTCAGTTCCCATTTTTAAATGTTCTAGAACTTATCTGGCTCTAGCCACACTGGAAAAATCAAATCAAATTAAATTAGAAGTCTTGATTACATTCAACCAGCCTCCTTTCATCATCATACACAAACACTGAAAGTGAATCAAACATTTTCCTTCAAATTGGGAAACTGAATGGAGTAAATCTTTTGGTTTGGGTTCAATTAAGTTCAAGTATTTACCACTTGTTGAATTAATTTTTTTCCTTAGATTAAGAACAATCATTAAGGTCAAGTGTTTGAAAAAAATAAAGTCTACAAGAGCTAAATAATTCTACATTAGGACTGCAAAAACCAAAGTGTACATATGTACACACACACACAAGCACGGTCATTTGTTTTCATGTTAAGACAATAATTTTGATAACCAGGATGCTTGGATTAAATTATTCCTTCCTGCTTTTTTAAGACAAGTTCAAAGCACTCAAAGTGCTGAGTAAGCAAGCGTGTGTGTGTAAACTGAGTAAAACACGAATACCGATTATTTTGTCATTGTGGTCTGGTCCAGACGAGGCCTATTTTAGGAGCATGACAAAATGTACTGATGATGTCAGGCTCAGAACCCAGGAGATCTTACACATAGAAATAACATATTTTTCTCAGAAAAAATGAAAGGGAAGCAGACAGCCATGTTACAGGCTTTTCCTTGTTGGTCTCTTCTACAGTATTAGCCTAGTCCCTTGCTGGCGAACCCATGGCACACGTGCTGCAGTAGCTGAAAGTATCACTGAAAGCTCTGCAAGGCTCACCGTCACCAGCCCAGTCACTTATCAGTGTGAACTCTTAGAAGAATCTAACCCTTAAAGGGGGCCACAATATCTGCTTTAAGCCTTAGTACAAAATAAAAAAAAATTGACTTTAAAATGCTAAATAGAAATGTGACACCTAAAAAAAATTTTTTTTTAAATCCAGGAAGTATATTCTATGACCAAACTAATGAAAAATCCTCAAAAGGCGTAAAATACTTCATCGCTAATAGATGATTGCATATCTAAAATATAAAATGTCACTTTTCATAGCCTGGAGAAAAGATCAAGCCAACAATTTGGTAATAAAAACCTACATAGGTGTTGACCTAAGAAAAAAGTACAACACAAAAAAGTGTTGTTATTTACAGATTTAAAAGTCGTTCTCATCTTTTCAGCAAAAGTAGCACACCAAGAGTACCAAATTGTCAAAGTCATCTTTTCATAGAGAAAAATACTAATGCAGGCTACGAGATTTCTGAAAAGATTCACCTTTATATCTATAATTTTTATTGAAAGCTTTAAGATTTTATCCATGCTTACCATGCAGAAGAAAAGAGAGAATCTTGGAATAAAGACTAAATTTTAGTTTCTTCTAAAAAGAAGAAAATATGACACTGAAGCCCTGAATGATAATTATACTTCCTAAGGAAGCACAAGAACACGCCAATCCATCCTATTAGTAAGTATAATGCTGGGTGGTAAGGAAGATTGCTTATCTAAAACAAAGGCGTTTGACAAGCCACACCTTAATCAAGTTTTCCATTTTGAAGACTATTACTGGCTTTCTCTTGTCTAATGAAAGAGGTGACTGGGGCACCCTCTAGAGATTTGGATCACCCACATGACATTCATCACATCCAAAACAATACAAGTAGAGATCCAGGAGCACTGGATTACAAATCCCAGCCTGCTGTAGGGCTCTGTTCCATACATGGAATACAAGAAGCTGTAGAAGGAAGGTATCACAGCAATCCGCACAATGAACACCACTGTTTTGAGAATTCCATCGATGACACTAGCTTTGGAACACTGGATACTTCAGAGCTTCAAAGAATCACTGCTGATTCACAAAAGGGCCAGAAAGCTCTGCAAGCAGGTGAAAATTTGCAATGTATCCCAGCACTTGATATTTCAGTACAAAGCAGTATGCATACAGCGCTACACAATGATAACTTATGAAAAATTTGTCATCAATCACTTTCCAGTAGCAGTAGCAATATTCGGTTTCACAAATGATGATTTGCCCCCAAGTGGATCATTTTAGTAGCCTCATCAAAGAAGAAAATACATAGGCCCCAAATCCCAACCACCAAACAGTGGCATGTAGATACTGCGCTTGAGTTCCATTCAGTCTTCTTTTCCAAGCTGAGACTGTTAAAGCCTGAAGACACCTTTGCAGAAAACCAGTAACTTACAAAATGGGAAAGAAACTGAGAGGTGAGGAAGCTGGGACAGTGCTGATGGCCAGTTTGGTGCCGTCATCCACACTTCATCAACCAGAACCTCAGAGAAGAGCTGACGCCAGAAGTCCTCGACCCCTTCCGTGAAATTGAAAGGGAAGGGACACCGCCAAATTCATGGCAGCAGAAGCAGCGAAAGCAGGAATAGAAACAAGCCGAAGTACTTTATTTTTAACCAATAATAAAGGAGAAATGATGTAGCTATTTTTTTTAAAAGAAATGTGTGTGTATATTTTATTTAGCCTTACTCTAAGCTAATAGTATATTTAATAAAGTTCAGAAAGTGTAAAAATGAATGCAGTTATTCAAAATTACCGTGGGTGCTGAAATCATATGGAAAAGGCGCAAAGTCACTACTGAATATCCCGTACATCTCAGAGAAACACCATGAATGTGAAGGTTGAGCACTGCACGAGATGTAGTGCACGTTTCTAATAAGAGCAGCAAAGCCCTGTGTGACCTATGTTAAGTGCTAGAATAGTCCATGTCTGTTTAAAATGCAACTTGGACTTTTAGAGATACCCATTGGATGAATGTAGCTTGGGTGGTTTAGAAAAAAGAACACTACTAAACTATGGTACTTAAAGTTTCCTTCTTCCAATTAATTTCTTGAAGGATTTTTGTCCATTGCAAAAACCTCTCAAAGCCATATGAATAAAGCAAGAAAATCTTTATATTCTAAACCTTATTTATACCCCCAATCCTATTTATACGTAAATTCTATTCATATGAACTACAGCCTCCTAATGTACTTACTGTATTGCCAAACATGGAAAATACCTAAAAGTTACAAAACTCAAGCTAAATAAAACATGAATGTGTATTACAGTGGAGAAGGAAGTGACTTCACGGACTAGAACAACACAGGACTTTAGGAAGAGATCATTGTTTAGAGAATGCTACTTTTTTTAAAGTTTAATTTTTTACACTATATAGGCAAAATTTGTTCCATTTTAAAAAAATGTCATACGTTAGCAAATGCTAGAAGGAAATGTTCATGTTCAAAACTCTAGGAAATACATTCTTAGCAAATTAAAACTTGTTTTACTTAAAAAAACACTGTGGTATGTAAGCGTATTTTTGGTTTTCTCTAGTTTCTTATGTACTTTTTATGATTATTGTACGAATACAATTTTATTGTGGTAAAATGAATTTCCTATATAACCTATGGTCATCATAACATAATTTATAATGTTACTAATAAATAGTACTACCACATCTTCGAATCATTTAACCTTTAAATTCAGATGTTTTGGCTTATGATGGGCTTATGCCCTCATAAACCTACTGTAAGTTGGAATATCCTGAGTTGACCCAGTGTAGCTAAGCCACTCCTGCCGTGGCGGAGTACAGCGCACTGTAGTTGGGGGTTGGCTCCGTGCGCAATCTCAGCAATGACTGGGGGAATCGGTGCCTTGCCTGGGGTTGCTTCACAGGGCTCGTGGCTGTCCTGGGAAAAGATCGAAGGAAGGCCATGTTCTCCTCACGTGCATCACTGTCGCACCGTGGAAACACTGCAAGTCAGGGCACTGTAAATCCGGGACCTTCTTTACGCGGTATCTCATTTTCATCCATGTTTATGAAAGAGGAAAGAAGGACCACACAGCTAACACTTGGAGACAGGGACTCAAATCAGGCCAACCAGTTTTAAGGTCAGTGTTCAGCGTTTTTCTTCTCTTTCAATCACTAAAATCTATAGTTAATCTTAATAGGAACCACAATATGAGAAACAGAAAAAATGATCCTGACCAAACTTCTTGTAAAATTTAACTGAATATTAAATCCTGAAAAGTTATTTATGAGCACATCTTAATCTCTCCACTCATTCCCTGAGTCAACAAGTATAGAAATCTGCAGTTTACAATGCTGTGCAAGACAGTCTCTCTTCCTGCACACACTTTATATCAGGGGGTGGGGTGGGTGGGTGCTGTATGTAACAAAACAAAGATGACAAATCCTATTGCTACTTTTCATCATTGCTCAGCTAAGACGTTTTGTAGCTCAACATGGAAAAATCCAGATCTATGAGCTACTTGAAACACTCTGAATAACAAATAGGCCTCTATAAAAAATACCAGTTCCACATTATATGTACATAATTGTATATACATAGTCTAAATGTAAAGTCATGGCCACTGACAGATAAATTACTTCCCAAAGTCTCTGATGTTTAATAAAATAATTACTTCTCAATTCTATTTAGCCCAAATTCTCTATGATGAGATGCAGTTTCTCTTTTCAGACACTGATGGGCTAACTATACTAAGCATTATGGATTTAAATTCTTATAAACACTGTTACATGAATTGTTATCTTTTTTTTGGATAAGCTATATCAGGTCATCCACAGTTTTGTTCAAACACTCTGAACTATAAATGAACCATGATGGATTTTATTAATGCCTTTTTTACCCAAAAGTGGACTTGAAGATTATGCCAAATTGATGTTTTATCAACAGAAATCTCTCTCATAACAAACTTCTGCAGGCAGATTTTAAATGTGTAAACATTTACTCCATGTGTAAGAAATGGAATTATCTCAAACTTGGATGCTAATTTACTGCTATTATTTTACAGAGGAGTTTAAAATAATTTTTCCTTAGAAAAAGAACAAGCTTAATTTAAAAGCTTTACCTTCACAGAGATCATTTATTAATATATTTTAGAATGTTAGAAAAAGTTGAGGATTAAGGAATAGGGTTGGGATCATTTTATATAGTGAAGATGCATTAGCACACACCAAGGCTGATAAAACCATGCTGTGACCATTTTGTAAATATGAGAACCTGTAGGGTTTACAGTCTGTACGAGGAAATGAGGTAGTCACAAATCATTGCATGGCTTTCTTGTGAATAAACCATTTCAATGATCTACAAGGCCTCCTGTCTTCAGTCAGAATACTCATATAAAACAACGGCAGGGTGATTTGTTAGCTTGTATGCCAGCTCTCACCCTTACCCTTTCTGTATCAGCCAGGTTTTCTGTTGTAATGAAATCCCCGAGACTGACAATTTAGTAAAGAAAAGAGGTCTATTTAGTGCAGTCTTGGAGGCTGAAAATCCAAATAGCACGGTGCTGGATCTGCCAAGGGCCTTGGCTGCAGCAACTCATAGAGGGTGGAGTCATGGTTGGACTTGTGACAGGGATGGTACAGGGTGATTCAGGCTTGGGCTTGTAATGCAGTACTGAGAGAGCTAACTCAGGGGTCCCTGATGCTTTGTTTTTGGTATCAGGGATCCAACTCAGGTCCTTGCGCTTACAAGGCAGGCAGCAGGAATGACCCACTGAGCTAAATCCCTGGCCAGGGGTCCCTTACGAACGTGACTTCTTTATGAGGATAGTGTCCAGGGATCCAATCATCTCCCCCCCAAGCCTCACCTTTGCCAATACCCCTTACTAGTGCCACACTGAGGGGACTGAGCTCCAAGCACGGGGATGCTGGGTGACAAGCTGCACCCAGCCACGGAGTTTCCTAACTTAAGGAACAGAGGGACCTCAGCCCGCCCTTACACAGGAGCTTCTCCTCTGCAAAGTTAGCTGAGCTGAGGTGAAATGCTCCAATCACACTCAGGGGCAGCAGAATTAGCCTTTTCTTTCGTGGTACAAGAAGAAGCTGTGTGCAGAAATACTGTAAATTCCCATCCACAAATACTCTGGAACATTTTTCTCCACAACTCTCAGGAAAGGATATGATCAGGATGAGTCACAATTTGATCACAAAAAATTGAAGAGAGATGAAATAACTGGAGGGATAAGCAACTGAAAAGAGGCCACGCACTGAGTGAGCACTGAGAAGGCCGGTGGGTACTAGACAGCCTCACAGTGGGCTGTGCCCCAACCAGCGAGGTACCGTACTCAGCAGGTCAGCTTCTGGGGCTCCGCTACGTGAACCATGGTCTTTATTTAGTGCGCATATGCTCAAACCACCTGACGTTCGCATCGGGGCTCATATTATTTTCGCACACTATGGAGAGTATTAGACTAAAAGTATTAAAGACATTTAAAATCAAAGTTTCCATGTCTTGCTAAATAATATTTAACATTTTAAGGTAAGAGACGATAAAGAGGGATTATCAAGATTTTTATTAAATTACGGAATACGGCAGTGCATGTCCTACAGTAGCTTTTTCACCTCCAGGGTAACACGGCAGAACAAGCTACGCAGCTACCTCACTTCTTGAGTTTCTTCTGGGCCGCTTTCTTCTTGACCATCTGTAACCGCTTCATGGCGTTGAGCTGGGACTCCTGTGACGTTGGACCTTTAAGGGAAGCTGCGGGGCTGCTGCTGGCTTCGGAAGCGGTTTTGCAGGTGGAATTCCCATTGGGCCCTGGTGAGCCGCTATTTCCATTCCCACTTACTTGGCTGCTGCTTCCTGAAACTAAAGTGGTGGGGCTTGGAAGACCTATTTTGCTGACATTGTCACAGCTAACCGAGCGACTAAGGCCAGTCTTGCCCAGGGTCAAAGGAGGTGGTGGTTTCAGTGGCACAGTGGGTGAAGTGCTGTTGCCGGACCCTAGCTTGGAGCTGAGTCCACCTTTGGAAGATGTCGCCAGTCCAGTCAAACCCACGGGCTTCTGGCCAGTTGAGGCGGCGGCAGGCTTCCCGCCACTGTTTTGCGTTGTGGAACTCAATTTTGCTGTTGATGGACCAGCAGAGGATGTTTTGGCTGCAAAAGCTGCCCATCCAGTTAGGCCACTGGTTGCTGAAGAGGAAACACTGGCGCTAGAGGAACTTCCCGAAATAACAGTGGATGTCTACAAAAAAGAGTAATTATTACATTAAAGCCATAATCAATACCTACAGTATGTAATATCCTTGAATGTGTGCTTGTTACACTTTTTATACCAAAGTAATAGCTTAGAAAATCTAAGCCATGGCACAAAGTTAGGTTTTTTGAAGCTGACCTGAAAAACACAGAGAACAAAACTTACCCATAGGTAATGGGTGTGTTACCACTTACAAAGCAGAAATTTTGGAATGCTGTATTTTTGTTTAGAATTGCTTTTAAATTCAGTTAGAAGCCAAGGAGGGAAATCAGAATTAGTGCTTTAACTTATTTTTCATCCAGAAAAGTATTACTTAGCTAAGAAAGACATCTAATTTATTTAAAAAACTAACTCTACACTTAAAGCAAAAAATGCTCACCCCTCAAACCCAGGATATTCCAAAGATGGCTGGGATAAAGCTTCAGTCAATAATAACTGAGTGGATGTGTAAAAAACATATACAAAAGAAAACTTCTGTATACAGATTCTAAAGCCACATTTGTAAGAAAAAGTTGCTACCAAATTTTGAGCTACAGCACTTCAAAATATGCACATGTGCAAAGTTAGCTAATTGAAATTACGCAACTCTCAAGATACATTAAAAAGAAATGATCTCATGGATTAAGATTTTCAACTTGTCCACGATTCCATCAAAACTACCACACGACAAATGCCTGCTTTCATATAATGGACTCTTTCAGCTGTCTGCGGGCCACGCAGTAGCACGTGGGGTGGGTCTGCCTGGCTCCCAGGTGTTAACAAGTACAGAACACTTCAGTCTCTCTGATTAACTTCCCAGCTTGGCCAAGCAGAAGCTCGCAGCCATACCGATGCCACTACATACACATAATGCTCTTATTTACACGAGAACAATTTTATTTCTTTCACATTAGGCAAAAATCCACTTTGTCCAAGTTAATTTAGAAGCAAACTACTTCCTGACACTATCTTCATAGTAAGAAGTGTTAATGAGTAAAGGCTTATAAAAAATAACATTCTACTTCTGAAAATCGCCATGACAGGCTTGACATAGATCCAGTTGTATGTTAGAACTGAACTCTGAAAGAGTTTTTAAAACAACGTTAGCTTTTACGAAGAGCCTTGAATATTGTCTACAGGTGAACATCTTTAAGCAACAGAAAAATAATCAGATTAGAGGCTCTGGGATCCTTTTTTATTTAAGAGTCGTGATTTTGTTCAAGTGCTCTGAAAATGATAGATTTCTCTTTATAATAACATCATATGATAACTATCTCATCAGATTATCCTGATGAGGAAAACTTAACATAAAACATAAATTCCAGGAGAAATGCACATGAGTAATAAAACGAAAAGCTACTCAAGGAAGCAAAAAAACCACAGGTGCAGTAAACTTTTCAATTTTCGGTTTTAAAAGATTTAATTTTTCCCCTTTCCTTTCTATTAAACTAAACGTCTGCCATATGGCCATTTGGCTAAATGTTTTCTCAACAAACTTTGCCAAACAAAACCCATTTGAAGTAATTAAAAAGACCAAAACTTATGAAATATAAACAAGAAAACAGGTTGTATGTGTTTGGCATTTTACTTTAATGGCTTGCTGTTGTGTGGTATTGCTTTTCAGCAGAATAACAAATGGTTTATAATACTATCCAGACATAGAAGTAAAACAACACAATATGGAGACCAAGTAATTTCGTAGAAAATAAGTTAACCATATATTTTAAACTATACATTTTTTTTCATTCTAGTTAGAAAGTCATTTTTTTTCCCCAGTACTGGGGATCGAACTCAGGATCTTGACCTTCTGAGGCAGGCGGTGGCACCACTGGGCTAAATCCCCAAACCAGCCATTTTGCTTTACATATGTGAATGGAAACAAAATTTTCTTTTCATACCAAAAATGTACTCATTTTTCCCCCCTTTTCAAAATTAGGCAAACTATTTCTTTTTTTTCTTTATTGGCACATTTTAGATATACAATACAGTTAGATTAATCATTGGGATCTTGTACAAAAATGTATTCATTTTAATCATAAAAACCCCAAAACCTCTCAGACAAAATGACAGCTGAGATTTTATTTGTCATAAAATGATTTTGTGTTGGATTTCCTAAAAGTAAACATTAGTAGTAACATGGTTAATATATATTAAAAAAAACTACCCAAAATGAGTAAGAATATAGCAACTCTAATTACTTTTCATAAATTAGTTACTCTTACTTCTAGTAATTCCCAAGTTCCTACATGACAAAACGATATACCTTAGAGACCAACTCTTCTCCAGTTAACTTAAAAAATGATCAGTGAACAAAATTATGTGTCTTTCTCAGAGTACTATATATTCACATGCTTTTCTAGCACACCAAGCTTCTTGAGCTTACTACTTACAACTATGAGAAAAACTGTCGTTAGAATTTTGTGGGGTCAATCTTTGAGAATTTGGGGCTAATGTTTTTTTCAATATTTAGTACTATGCTTATTGGAATTTATAACTCAACAACAGCATTATTTTTGTTATAAAATGATTAGGTATTTTTTGTATGATGTCATAATGCTGATCTGCAGGATGTGAACCTGAGTGGAGGAAAATGATGCTCTTGCTGGATGGTATGGCCCCTCATATAGGAAGCAAGCAAGATGAAATGTGATAATAAAAGAAAAGTAAAAATTAGCCTGAGGAGCAAATCACTGCCACTGCAGGAAGAGGTTCAGAATTTAACCCAAAGTCCTGATTAAATAAAGACATGACTGTAGAGGAAAGCGGAATGAAAAAACGAAAAGATGACACAAGATATATGTACAGCTACAAATTCCCTATGATGAATGCTATCATTCCATATATTTCAATGTACCAATAAACATTTTGCTTCAAAAAAAAGAAAGAAAGAAAAAGGTACTGGACCTTGACTTCTGTCCTCTTGAACGCTAGGAAGGTGGTCTCTGGCTTGAGTTTGGTTTCTGGTTTCTTAACCAAGGGATCCTTCACAGCCGGAGCTACAGAAACAGTGGTGGGGGCTGGTTTCTGTGGTGGTTTCTGAGTTTTTTGAGCCTGTAAAAATCAGTGAATTAAATGAGATACAAAGTCTTAACTGAATGTATGAAACATAATAAAAACTTATCATGAACCAATGGAATGGAAATAGTTGAAAATTTAAAAAATATAGGCTGCTTGACAAGTCCTTTCCTATCGTAACATTAACAGTTTTACAGATTTCTTTAGTTTCTAAATAATAATGACAATAGTATTAGAATCATGCAGATTCTACATTTTAATTTATCTGCATTATAACAAGATAAACCCAATTGTTTTTAAAGAAAATTCATAAACTATGACACAGCTTCCCTGAGTGCATGCAGGGACCGCCTCTAAGCCTGCCTCATACCCAAAACTGTGGCTGCTGAAGACTCTAACAGAGAACGGTGCAGTTTGTGCACACAACTTACACATGCCCTTCTACATACAATACCCGATATGATGGAAATGCTATGTGACATAGCTGTATTGTTTGGGAGGTAAAGACGAAGAAAAAAGTCTGTATCTGTTCGGGACAAGGCAGTGTCTCCTCTTCCCACCTACATAGAGTCGGTCTGACCCACAGGCGCCCAAAGCATGCGACAGGGCTACTGTGTGCATCAGCGTGGCCGGTGCACGACTCTCACTGTGCAGCGCGATCCACAGGTCTCATTAGGGTCGGCCCAACTTTCTCCTCATGGCCCAGCTTGCGGCTTACTTACTGAGGGGTAGGTTAAAAACAGCTGAGACGGTTTATACGGTTTTAAATACAGAATGGAAAGGGGAAAATACTAACAGAGAATCTTTTTGAAGTTTCCCCATACTGTATAGCTAGGTAAGCTAAATCCTCACACAAAGTTCATAAATACAAATTTCTGTTATCAAGGAAGAATTTCCTCCACTATTCCTTTACTGAAACAAAAGTCAGTTTTATTTGAATAACTAAATTTTCCTTTATTTTTTAACTAAAATGTATTAGCTCTTTTATGAACTCTAGTCATTTTCCAGTTTTCTTTTTAGCATTTTACAGGTGGAGAATAAAAGCTACATACACAGTATGATGCATTGAGAGCACAGCTTTTGGAGTCACCAGAACTAGGATCAAAATCTAACTCACCTGTTTCCCCAGCTATGCTACCCCAGATAAAATACGTGAATCCCTCAAAGCCTTGCTCTCTTCATCTGTGGAACGGTGGATGGCATCGTGTGTCTGAACAGTGGGTCTGGGGCATGAGCTGCAGTCATGTTGAGTTCAGCACAGGTCTGGCCCATGCTGAGTCCAGGCAGAGCAGGTGCCTTTTATTCCTCATCATTATTTAAAAAGGATATGGAAACGGAATGTAGGAGGATCTCTCCACCCTCCCATGCGCTATTCCATAGCCATTAGCAATCCTCCGCGATCCAGACAGTACACCAGGGAGCCTGGAGACTGGCCTGACTGTTGACTTCTGGTACCAAACTACATTTCCTGTTAGCTCACAGTGAGAGCAACGGAATGCAGACAAGAGTTTTGTCCTGAGTGTTGCTCTGATGCTACTCCAATGAAGGAGGCATGGTTGTCTTGACTAATGAATCAAACATTTAATTTGCAGAGCAGATAAAAGTCTAACTAATCTAGATGAAAAGGAAGTGCTTAGAAACAGAACATAAGGAACAGGAAGTTCACAACATGCACAGGGACTGATACACCTTGTTTGGTAGAACAGTGTGGCAGTGCATGGGGAAGCACTGGGACAGAGAGGCAGCAGGTCAAAGAGAGGGGCCGTCCTTACATGCTCCCCAAGGGATCTCACCTCCCTGCGTAAGTAACTGAGAGCCACAGAGAGGACTGAAACAGACGAAGTGGCATTTAGGTCTGAACGTGCTTGAAAAGAAGCAAAGAAACTTCTCCTCCTGCCACCCTCCTCTTCCCCTTCTCCTTATGTTCCTTCAGTGCTAAGGTTTAATCCCAGCCTTTGCCTTGAGGTATATCTTCAGCCCTTTTTTCAATTTCTGAGGCAGGATCTCACTATGGGAAATCGCTAGGTTTCCCGGGCTGGGCTTCAACTTGTGATCCTCCCACTTATTACAATAAGCTATCAGGGGAACAGAGAGGAACGCATATAAGACGGTTTGGTCTCTTGCCACAGAAACAAACATAAATCACACATGCATACGATACACACAAACATTTAGCTAATCAGCTTAAATTAGCTGCTTTTCAAAGTATTAACGTTCAAATATTTAACCTGGAAGCGTTTTACCAATGAAAGGGCATCAAAGACTATTTAAAGCAGAGAAAACCAGGATGCCCACCATCCTCTTCATCTGTCGGGTGCATCGGGCGCAATACCACACCAAGCGAGGGTCGTTCACCTCCTTGTCTGTCACCTGGGGCTTGTGGCAGTCCTGGTGGTAGAGGTTATGGCACTCCTGACATTCCACCAGTTGGTTACCAGAGGCCACTGTCATCTGTCTACAGAAAATGTACCATCAGACATTACACTTTCTTGGATAAGACAATCATGTTAGCGTACGGCTGTTCTGGTAAAGCTCTGTATAGTAAAAGAAAAAAGAAGGCCAGGAAAGCCAAAGAGAATAGTCAAGCCCAACACAGCCAGCGCAAGCACCTCGCTGCCCTATGGCTCACTCATACATACATCTGCTGCCTTCAGCTTGGCTGCATTCTTGGATTTCTCATCATTTTGCTCCTCCCAGCCGCAGTGGACCTTGACTGCCCCTCTGCAGTCTCATGATGCTTTTTTACTATCTCTGTTTCGCTCCTTCCCACTAGGTGGCCGCATGCTCTTCTTTCTGTGTCAGGCATGAGTTACCTACAGGGAGGATCTGAGCCTAATCATCCACGGCGCTTAGCACAGGGCTCTGCAGGCAGAGTGTTCAATAAACATCTCCTCAGCTGAACGGAATGCAGACGTATGGCTGCCAGGGAGGCAGAAGTTCCGACAGCACAAAAAGCAATCTCCGTGGTCTCAGGTCCTCACAGTAAGCAGACTGGGGAAGGGCTACACTTACTAGTCCTATCCCCATTAACACTCTACCATTCATTCATAAATGCTAACTTTCATGGAGGATAAAGGCAGAGATGACCAAATAAACGTGAAACAGGAAGTCCTCGCCACCGAGCCTTGTCAGAAGTACACCCTGCTCCCGCCACACCGACTCCCCTCATAAGGCTCACAAGAGCCGAGCTACTCGGTCCCACTGAACCAGGATTTAAGACTTCTAAGAGGCAAAGAGCACCAGGGATGGCAATCTTTTTTGCTGAGTCAGGCAATGAAAACCATTAACAATTAAAGACTGCCCCTGACATGGAATTCAAAATCTATTTATTCCTGATTTAAAAACTGTATCTTCTACCAAGCAGAATTTGCTGTTTTTACAATTGTGCATCTAAATTTTAAAGGATCACTCAGAAAAACTTACATTCCTTTCACTTTTACTATCTTTAGGAAAAGTTAATTGTGTTTTAGGAAATATATATATTAGTTTTAAAAAGTGCTATGAACAATTAAGAAATAAGCAGCAACGTAGACATCATAAAAAGATGGGAATAACTCAGTCTGCTGAGTAGATTCCTCCACACTGAAGAATAATGCAATAATCACCACCCCTGCAAAGCCCAAGAATGCAGAAAACAGATTAAAGAAGTGGTGGTCAGGTTTGGGGTGCAGCTTAGCGGGACTATTTGCCTTGTGCGAACAAAAGCTAACAGAGACCACAATAACAAATCCATAGTCATAGTCAGAAGATAAATGTTTGACAATTTTTAAGATGTTAAATTGTTATATGGGAAGTTCCTAACATAACCTACTTCTTCTGCATCTCTCCAAAATAAAAACAAATTAAGGAAACACCTCACAATCGCAGAGACTTTTTTGTGGGAGGGAGCTGTTTGCTGTTTTTCAGAGAAACACAGGATGAGTGTCCAGGAGTGACTCACTCACCTACAAACAACACAGGCCAACCCCATCTCCATGGCGAAGTCATCAGCGCTGGTCTCCTCAAAGCTGGAGAGGTCAGCCATGGCCAAATCCTTGCTGGTCTGGACGGTAATAGGAGAGGACCGTGTCTCTGGTTTCTCCAATCTAGGTTTCTTTGGAATATCAGCTCCTTCAGTGATATCTGACTTCATCTATAACAAGTAACCAGTCAGAAAATGATAAGCAAAGAACACAGCAGAATAAATCACAAGTCAGCAAGGGATAGGGTGGACAGTGTGCAATGATCATGTACATTTACAGGTATTTTCACAGTTTCAGACAATATGCACACTAAAGATCTATAGAACAACTGTATTTCATTTATAGTCAGTATGTTTAAAAAAAACTAGTGAGAGAAAGAAATGAATCAAAATAACTTACTATATTTATTTCTCTCTGTACTCTTCTATCTACTATGGAATTTTTGGAAGTTCAATGAATTTTGTTACGTCTTTTTTTGCTAACGAGATGTTTTAACTTGAGGAACCATAGCATTAACAAAGCTACTGTGTGTGTGTGTGTGTGTGTGTGTGTGTGTGTGGTCCTGGGGAATGAACTCAGGACCTTCAGCTTACAAGGCAGTCACAGTGCCACTCTGCTAAATCCCCAGCCCCAATAAAGCTACTTTTATTTTAAATATTTCAAATTATGAACTACTATTGAAAATGTTTTGAAAACAAGTAATAGTAAGCTGTCTGCCAGTCATCCAGAATTAATTCATTGCCACAGTTTCTTCTGGCTTAAATTACAAGATTTTAGGTAAACCTGTTTGACTGGCAAAAATTAAAATCTCATAAGACTGAGAGGATTTGCAATCCTTACACAACATTTTGTCCATTTTGAATAGCAACCTAGTAAGGCTAGGAATGTAGATGTACACACCCTATTCATGCACTTACAGGTATAAACACCACTAACATGGACACAAAGAGATTTGTATAAAGTAGCTCAGATACACAGGAGCTCACCACAGCTCTACTGCAAGAGACAAGGAGAAACAACCCAAATGCTCATCAGAAGGGGAATAGAGAAACTGGTATTTTTATAGAATGAATACTACAAGGTTACTAAAATAAATATGTAGATCCACATGCATCAACATAAATTTCAACAGCACACTGTTAAGTAGAAAAAGTTATCAAAGGACATAAATACATAGCAGTGTACCATCTGTATACATTTAAAAGCCCAAAAATAATACTGAGCAGTTTATGAAAGGCAACTTACTTAGCAAAAGGATAGAATATATAGGATAGTAATATAGCCTACCTTTATGGGTAATTTAAGATTTTTTAAATGTACTTTTTATTAATTGCTAAAATTTTACTTAATATTTTCAGAAATCACCCAAAATATATAATCCAAGAATGATCTGTGGCTCTGTTAAGGTGCTTGCCACCGAGTAACAAAGTTCACATTTAGTCATTTAAATCTTTCTTTTGAGACAGGCTCTTGCTTGTGTAGCTTATGCTGGCTTTGAACTATGCAGCCCAGGCTGGCCTCAAACTCATAGTGACCCTCCTGTCTCAGCCTCCTGAGTGCTGGGATCATAGGTGTGTGCCACCATACCCAGCTGTTCTCTATTTTAATATTTTTGGTTTACATCTCTCCACATTCTATCTTTATTTTTCAACAACCATCCCAACAAGAATCTCTGAGGTATGGATTAAAGTATACATTTGAAATTACTGTACACCAAAGGTTCAGATATTTGTTGATAATGCTTCTGTAAATGGTTAATAAAAGTTTCTAACTTTTACTCACTTTTCAAAAAGTCAACTCCTATGGCTATTTAAGTGTATTTTCTGCGTGATTATTATGTGCTTATACCTATTATATAAAAGAAGTACACATAAAACACTGTTTCTTTCTGCCCATGGAACAACTGATTTGCTTTTTTATATGCTAAAGTATAATAAAATCTTACTTTATCAGCAGGCCTCTTTTCAGCCTCTTTCTTTGCCTTTTCAGTTGGAAGGACCTTGCCATTGTTATTGCCAGGAGGAAGACTGGATGATGTTTTGGGCTCTTGCTTAATAGGAAGAGATTTTGTGCTTGAAATTTTGGGTGGTTCCACATCCTAAAGGGTAAAATGAAGACATACTGGTAATTACTCAATCGACCAGATAAGGACACATAATAAATTTAAACTATTTTAAATTAAAAAGCAAGAGGCTGTGTTATGGCCAGCGTAACACACTCTGGATGCTGCACTGAGAGGTGACTGTGCCTGGCTGTGGCCATCAAAGTGTCCAGGCTACCAAGTCCTGATACAGTACCACCACCGCTATCCAGTGAAGGCATCTGGCACTCTGACTTTCTCTGTGGTCCCTGGATACTCTTGTGAGCTTCCAATTATGGCTAGAACTCCTCATCTAGTCTCACCTTCTGGTATCCAGGTCCCCACGCCCAGGTGACTGGGAGTTTCAGAGTCAGAGCTAGGAGGGCTAGGAAGAAGGTCTCAGGTGGTATTAGAGGGGACTGGCGTACTGGGTGTCAGGGAGACACCATGCCAGTTTTATATACCTGATCTACAAAGTAACTCTTCTTGTTCTTATTTTGCCAATAAATAAAAGGAGATGGGTGTTTCCTCACTGTAAAAGAAAATAAAATAAAAAATACCTGTAACAAAGTGTATGTGCATCATGTGAAATTAATGATATACACAAACCACTTGGAAAAGGGCAGTGAGTACAGGTGTTCACAGCACGTCATCTGTTATCATCATTGACTTTAAGAGGCGGGCTGGGATTTTAAAATGATTTCAGGTTGCAAAACATGATTCTCAACACACGAAGCTACCTGCCCTTAGCTACCGTATTACAAGACTGGAGCTACACAGCTCTGACTTTACACAGACCTGGCTTTCCCTCAAATTATGCCACCCATATTTAATTTACTTTGTTGAAAAGTCTCTTTACTGCATTATTTTTTGTCATGAAACATCATAGAATAATTAAAAGTTGTGGTTAAATTCAACAGCTTTACAAAAATTGACCATAACCAGCTGGAAAGTGAAGTCAATCAGAAAGAAGCTGATTTCTATACAGATCAAGTAGATCAGGATATGCCCAACCAAACTAAGCCTGAGGGAAGAAAACTGAAGAACATGGTATCTTTGTGCCACAGGAGAGATTATCACCCGCTACTACTACAAAGCTGTCTCCAGGCTGTCTCATTCGTGCAGGTACCTTCTGAGTGGGGCGGTAACTGGAATCACTGCCCCGAGCTAGAGACTCATCCAGCAGTGCTTTCAGCTTTTCGGCAGAATCTTTACTCTTTGAATGTAAGAAACCTAGTGCTTTCAAAAAAATGGGATCCAGTTCCAAGTTCACAGTTGCAGCCATTGCAAAATCCTGAGAGGAAAAATAAAATGAAAGGAAGTAATTTAGAGACAATATGCAGTTATCCATGCCACAGTTTTATCTGTTTTGTTCTTTTGTTTATAGTCACATGTAACATTGTGCACATGATATAAATTTCAAATGTCCAAAGTTACTGAAGATACAGAGGAAACTTCTTTCTCATCCCTGCCCGTCATTATCTAGTCTTCTTTTTGCCCCTCCTGAAACAATCAGCACAATCAGTTTCCCGTGTCCACATCCCTGCCAGCTGTTTTCAGCTTCAGCACACACAACCCGACAGTGCCAGGTCAGGTTTGCCATGCGCCAGTTTCTTCTTTCACACCTTCTTTCCATCACGAAGGCAAAGATCCAGTGTGTGCTCAAATGTGCCATTGGGAGGGTCGCGGGAGGCCGATGGTTACAGGTGCAGTAAGTGGCTGGCTGTGCAGTCACTGCTGCAGCTTTGACCTCAACCCTTTCTCTTGCTCCTCAGTCCTCAGCTGTGGATTTCTTGGAAAACATTCAAGACAGCCTTATTCGACCAGTCAGATGGTGGTATCTCATGTGTTGATCTATTTTAAAAAGCAAAGGCTCCCAGGGAGGGGCCTACACCCTCTACAAATATCCCTCAGGACCCACAGAGCTCTGAGTCTCAAGGAGCTCAAGGAATAACCAAGACAGCTGACATATACATCAAAGGCTTTTGGAATTCGACATTAAAAAGTTTTGTTTTCAATTAAAACCAGGGCTATCAGGTGGCTCTAAGTACTTGTCACTTTCTCAAATACTTCTCCAGGCAAGGAATTACTAAAATAAAAATGTATTCTTTGTATTCAATCCTTTGATCAATATATTTCAGTTTGAAATCCTCTTCTATCGTTGAGGTTAATATTATAATAATGCACACACTTGCACTGCTGCAGTTAAGGATCTTTCGGCAATTCCACAGTAATCTCACATTTCCGGGGCTTAGAAAGCCATTAAAACCTGCAGTAGGTTGAATCTTGGCATGCGAAAGTAAAAGCTGAAAATGGATTGTTCATTCCTTGCCTTCTCATCCCTCTGCACATGTGACTGGGCACACACACTCCCTAGGCTTATTCCCAATTTCCAAGAAGGTGTTAGTTATCTATTCAACAGCTGCAAAATTGCTGTCAATTTTTTTTTCTTATAACAAAACTTCCTCTTACTATCACCTACTTCTGTGTGTGTGTGTTTTTTTTTTTTTTTCAATTCCTACAACTTGGTCTCTGTACCACTATTCCACAAAAATGCTCTCCCAGAGGCAATTCAGTTTTATGCATATCTAAGAAATACTATTTTCACCTTGCACTTTTTTCCAGTCTTATCTGTTGGCTCCTCTTATTCCAGTGAAAGAAAGACTGTCAAGGGTAGAATCAGGTGTTGCATCACCCTATACCTTTTCCCACAACTGTTCTCCAGACCAGCACAGCATCCCCTGGAAACAGTGAGGGCTGTGGACAGAGTCTCCACCCCCAGGCCTTCTGCAGGAAACTCAGGGTGGGGTCCAGAATCTGTGTTATACCTCTGAGCCACTCTGACCCACTCTAAATTAAAGACTTACTTCCCTAGATGATGTGATGGGGTCTTTTGCCAGTGATAAATTTCTCTTTGTAACGCTGTTTCTCTTCCAAGATCTGCCAGCTGGACTTGGCTGTGTCCCTGGAGTTACCTGCAGAACATGTTCCCAACACAGCCATTCACACCCCTGATCTCCGAGCCAATTCTTCCCCTAGAATGAATTCCTGTTTAATGTATTCACCCCACTGCTCCCACCAGAGACCTGGGAATGGGCTTTAACTTCCTCCCACCCTCTCTTTGTATCTCCACTCCATCTAGCTTTTCTACTCATTACTAGTTCCACTCAAGACCAGTCTATCATCACCTATTATCTGGTCCCCCTAACTACTCTTGTTTACCTCCCAATTTTTTCATATCACTCATTAATGGAAATACTTTAATCACTTCTTCTGGTCCAAAGGTTGGAGAACAAAATTCTTACCAAGGTCTCCAATGTGCTACAATTCGGTATTACACAAACCCTTAGGATGGCGCTGGCTCACATGTTCCCTGTGTCACACTGTGGCCACCTAATTTCAAGTCCCTGATGTATCATACCTTTCTTTCCTCACTGCTTTAGTAGCTAATGTGTCGTACCCGTCTCAGTCATGCTTTAAGTCTGTTCTTTTTTTTTTTTTTTCCTGTGCATTTTCTCAACAAAAGTAGAAGTCTTACTGTCACAGCGGACCCTTGACTTACGAACTCAATTGTTTCCCAATGGCTGGTTGTAACTAAGTCAATACACCTGAGATCCAGTCATGGAATGGGTACACGCTATAGATATCAAGAGGCAGAGGAATCTTCCATTAACGTAACTAACCCAAGTTGTTCATATGTCAGGCTGGTCGTAACTTGAGGGTCCACTGCACATGGTCCAAAAGTATATTCACTGGTAACATGCATCACAGTATTAACTACAGAAACAATGCCTGTTTAGAATGTAAATGCCATGAGGGTGGGCACTGGATTGTTTTTGTCCACTGCTGTGTCCCATGGCTACCAGAGTGGCTGGGAAACAGTGGGTACTCACCAAGTGCAGGCCAACTAAACACATTCTAGGTACTCTCGCTTCCAGAGGCCTCTTCTTTGAGAGTGGTTAGACTGGTTTTCCTCTTCTGTCTCTGGTCACTGTCTCTGTCTCTGGCCCGTCTTTTCATCCCTGTTGTCTCAGTATTGCTCACAGATCTATCCTTGCCTACCTTCTTTGGTTCTGCTACCATGGTTTTCCTACATTCTACATACTATGTTTTCCGCTAAACTCTCTAGACAACTGCCCCCACTCAGCTCGGATCCCACTTTTCTAACTGCTTCATAGACATCTTTACCTGATTGCCCCAACGGTATCTAAAATAAAGTTACAACTAAAATTGAGATAATGAATGTTTCCCTGAAAAATTATCTCTCACACTTTATTTCAATAAGTAACAAAACTCTCTGTTATCTTTTCCTCACTGAGCCTTACTCCTTGCATCCAATCAACAGGGCTTTCCTGTGGATTCTGACTCACCAACACCCTCTATATATCTCATTTTTCATTTGCACTGATAATTCGAGTTCTCATTTAACTTACTTGAACGATAACAATAATCTAGTTTTTAGCCTTTACTTCAACATTAGTCAAACTCATTTTCTGAAATAAAGTTTTCTTTTTCATTTTTATTTTCCTGCTAAAAAGTTTAAGACTTCCCATCAGTCAAAATACATTAAAGCTCAAATTTCTTGGCCTAGACTCTAAGAAGATTCATTAACTGACACAAAAACTGCCATTCCTTTCCCAAATATTCCTTACAGCTGAATTCTTGGCCGGCATAACTTTTTTTTTTTTTGGTCTGGGAAGCCTTTACCCTTCTTTATAGTTCCAAATCCTATCAAGATCCAGTTCAAATATAATTTATAGTGGAGACTGCCATACCTACTGTGCTTTTTCACTCCAAATCCTATTAATAAGCTCTTCCTCCTAGTGTATTTTCCAGTGTTTCTTGTGGTATCAAGACTGTCTATGTTGAACACTACTCTCTGCACAAGTGTTGCACTACCCATAAAACTGAGTATTTAAGGGCTGGGAGAGCATCCCACAGAGTTCTAATCACTTTCCGGTCCATTTCTGCAAAAGGCACAAAGGAAACTCAGCGTCCTACCGCCCAAAAAACCAAACAGCAAAATAGCATCACCAAAACCACCTACTTCATGATTGGGAATTTGTACTGTACAATATTTATAACTACAGTACTCTTATCTTTATCTTTCACCTGGCTTAAACTCATCAATCCCAGTAGAGTGCAAACTCCTTGCACAGGGACTTTTGTTGTTGCTGTTCACTGTCATTTCCTGAATTCTTGAAATCTGACAGGTACTTAAAATATTTATTGAATGAATGAACTAGGTTTGTACTTAAATGTCATTCTCAGGGCTGCTGTGATCTCTCCAACCTAAATCGGGAATTCATATATAAATACACGCATTCCCTTCTATCTCATTTTTCACACTACCTGCTCATCTCCGAATGAGTCAGAAGTCGGGTCCTCCCTCCGCATGTGCAAACCGCCGGTACTCAGGACAGTGCAGTCTTAGGACTGCCACCTCCTAACAGCTCTGGAGAGCTTTCCTCTCCTGTCTTTGCAAGCTTTTGCAATCCTTTCCAATAAACATTCTTTCAAAGACCCTCCACGGAGGCCCTGGCCCTGGATTATACTGATACCTTAGGGACACGCCAGGAAACGTAGGGCAGGTGATACAGGCACCGATCCCAACATGAAGGAAGACGCAGAGAAGCCGGAAAGCGACGGGAGGGGAACCTCAGGGACACTGTGCTAACCTTCCGATCACAGCACCACACGAGGGAGGCCTAGCACAGACGCCAGAGACGAGGGCGCGGGGACCAAAGCGGGCTGTGCCCCGGGGAAGGACGGGGTTCCGGGGCCCACCCGCGTGTCCCGTCCACGACCCCTCGAGGGAGACTCAGTCCTCGCTGACAGTGGGGGACGGCCGGGCCGGAGAACCCTCCCCAATC